TCAGAGAACTCAAACTCTACTGAGGCAGCCATGCTTTTGCTTTGTCTAGACCAGCGGTTCTCAACCTGTGGGTTGGGACCCCTTTGGGGGTCAAACAACCCTTTCGCAGGGGTTGCCTGATTCATAACAGTAGCAAAATCACAGTTATGAAGTAGCAATGAAAATAAGTTTATGGTTGGGGGTCACCACCACATGAGGAACATGAGGAAGGTTGAGCAGCACTGCTCTAGATGCTTGGCTCAGGCCCAAGACCCATGAGAATGACTGGGGGGTCTACTGCAGTGTTGAACCCCAGGGCCCACTACTAGTCCTGCATTGTCAGTGTGTGGTTAGTGACCCTCGGGTTCTGGCAGTGACTCCTCCTGGCTCTCAGACAGGGCAGAAATGGAAGGCCGGGAGGGAAGGGAACACCACACAGAGCCTGGGGGAAGTGTGGTTCTTTTCCTGGGAAACGGACGCTAGCCTCCCCTTTGTACACCCCACTCTAGGGTGCCACACAGTCCTTATCAGGAATAATGCATTGTGTGGGAAGTAGCTCCCTCCCTGCACGTTGGCTACCACCCCAAACCTACCCAATCACCTGGGCCAACAAGTCAGGTGCTAAGTCCGTGAACTTAACCACTGCAGTGGTGCTGGCAGGAGACAGGTAGAGGCCTTTCTCAAGGTTATTTCTTAGGAAAGACAAGCTCTCTGGCCCGTGTACTATGAAGTAGAGTCCTTCCTGCCCCGACTCAGCACAGGCCGCTCTCAACACAGCCATAGAAAGATCTTTCTCCTCAGATGGTACAACTCCCTGGCTTGGAAGCCTCCTTCCTAAGCCTGCTGGAGCGGGACTCCGCTCCCCTTTCCAGCCCTGCTTGAAAGCCTGCTCCCTGTGCTCACGGCACTGTGCACACTGGCCTCCTGAGGGCATCTAGAGACGCCCAACTCCTGCTCCATCCTCGCTCCCAAAGGCTGCGCCCCTCTGACCTTTCAGACCTGAGGGGCTGACTGACTCCTCTGCGCCCTAGAACTGCTCCCCACAGTGCCGGATCTCACTGTACGCACCTCGCTCCTTCCCAAAGTGCCCCCCACTGGACCACAGGGCCTATGTCCACCCGGTTCCCCACAGGATCCCCAATGCCTAGAGCAGGGCCTGCTGTGGAAGGCACCCAGCGGGAGGAGCGAGCTGTCCCCCAGGACTCACTGGCACTGGGGGTCCTTGGCTCCTGAAGTGCAGTCAGCCCGTGGCCAAAATTGCAGGTTCCCTAGGCGGCACCTTGCTGGCAACTGGACCAGCCAGACCAGAGCACGGTCCTTTAGGGTTAGCTCAGACTCTATAGCTGGGTGCCCCTTCCTCCACCCCAGAACTGACCAGCTGGCTGAGCGCCCACCTCTCCACCCTCCTCCCGTCAGCCCTGGAGTGGGAGGTCACCACCATGGGCCATTTCAAAGTAGTTGTCCATCATTAAAGACCTTCCATTCTTCCTGCCCAGTGCCCGTGGCAGAAAATGCTTCGATGATGACGTCTCTACACAGATGGCTGCTTTCAATGCTGCTTTCCTGAGCCAGCACAACCGGAAGGTAAGTACCGCACACAAACTCAAGCCCTGGGACAACACAGTCACAGTGGAGTCTCTCACATGGGTTCCTTACACGTGTCCTTGGTTTCTCACCCACGTTGCTAAGTTCATACCAAACACAGTGCTACCACACAGGAATTCCACGGACTCCTCGGTATTGTTGACGGCATAATGCCCTGTGCTGTCTTGCACTCTGTTAAGTATTAAGCCCTCGCACTTGCAAAGTGCTGCCTTTAGGGCCGGCAGGGTTGTGAGTGGTGGGTGCTGCCAGGGGAGAGGTAGGGTATACAGGGTGTCACCTTGGTCTCGCTTTAATGAAATATAGGGGTTAACTGTCAAGGGGTAATGTGGCAGAGGGGGCAGGAGGGAAGACTGGAGTCACTGTGACCAAATTCATAATACGAGATGGTGTAATGGGGACGCACCCAGCTGCTAACCCCAAGGTGAGCACTTTGAAACCACCAGCTGCTCCTTGGGAGAAAGATGAAGCTCTCTATCCCTGTGAAGAGGGACAGTCTGAGAAGCCATCAGGGGCAGTCCCAGGGTTGCTATGCATGGGAACAGAATTGGTGGCAGTGGTTGTCAAACACTCAAGATGCTCACATACTGAAGACCACTGTGGTGCCGACAGCACCCGCCTGTCAAAGCCAGCGGGCCTCTGACAACCAAGGGGTCCGCAGGCGCCATTGTGCAGCGATAATATGTAAAGATTATGGTAAAGTCATAGAGAATAGGAAAGATGAGAGGGAGTAAAATAAAGGAGTCGGCACATTTCATGGTAGCATGCTCACCTCAGCCCGTCTTGGTGGTCCACATGGAGGTGGGACATGCGAAGAGAAGGGTGCATATTTCCAAAGGCGTGCAAGCCCCCCTGATTACATCAGAACGGGAAGGGGTAGTACCACAGGTAATACATGCAATGGGAGGGAAGTGATCTAGGGGTGTACATGCAGTGGGAAGGGGAGGGAGTAGGTGTACACACATGACAAGATGGGCGGACCCTAGAATCAAGATGGCAGCCTATCTTTGGTCATCTCTGAGTGGGCTTGACCTTGTCTCTGGGCTCTCCTTCAGAGAAACAATCTACTATCCTATCAGCAGGGAGTGGGTCCCACCTATGGTCTGACTGCTCTGGATGGCTGATGCCCTGGCATACAATATGGGGAACCTGGAGAAAAACCCTTTTGCATCCCACACCTGCCCTCCTCCAAGAAGCTGGGCTCCTGGCCTTGCATTCTGATGTGGCTAATTTGCAAAGAACCTACGTGACTGCACTGGGGAGGTCAGGGGTGGGGGCGGGGACTCCCCTTAAAGAGGCAGTCCTGACATTCTCAGAAGCAGCAGGCATGGCGGGAAGCAGGAACTCAGGAATCCGGCCTTAGCATGTGCTCCAGTCAGAACGTCTGGATGGACCTTGAGCATTACGAAGCAGAAAGGGAAGGTGTTGACCCAGTGAGGAGGACCCTGGATTGAAGCAGGAAGCCATTCTGGATAGGGAGCTTACATTAGAGAGCTTCAGTACAAACAGATTCCAGGGTCTAGCAACTGGCAGACTGCCTCCAAAAAAGTTCTGCTTGGCTGTTTTGTTTGGGCCAGCCTACTGCTTTAAAAGGTGGTGTAACCAGGGAGCTAAGCGATCACAGAAACCCACAGTCTGCACCTATTTGCTTAAACCTCTGGTTTCCTGGGCAGTGTAAGTGGGAAAGCACTCAACTACTAGCCCAAAGGCTGGTGGCTGTACGGTTTGCAGAAGGCTGCGATGCAGATGACAGAGCAAGTCCAAAGCCGATATGCAGGGTCCCGCGTGCTCATGAAGCCACGGATGAGTCCCCTCTGACTATGGAAAGAGACAGGCAAGGCCTGGCTACCAGACAAGGGCATTGCAGGGTGGATAAGTGCAATGGTAGGTAAGGGAAAATGTGACACCTTTGTTTGCTCCAGTTTTTAATATTTTCTGCTGCTATTGAGATTTTTCTGTTTCATTTTGTCATGGTTGTTTGTATTGTCTTGATTTTGTCAGATTTCCTGTAAATGCAACCCGGAGTAGGTCAACCAATAGAGACAATCAATAGATTCCAAGGGACATGACAAGAGGCTGGCGAGAAATGGGGAGCTCACAACAAAGCGTACAAGATACAAGACATGTCCTGGAGTTGATTGTAGGTATGGCTGCACAACTCTTATGAATGTGACTGGACATTGAAAAGGAGGGCATGTGAATTGGATGCCAGGGAAATTATTAAAGAGGAACTATGTAGTTTTGAAAATGCTGGCAGTTGTAGTCCACCCAGAAGTGCCTTTTCAGAAGCTATTTCGGAAATACTGTCACAGCACTGAAAACCCGCGGAGCGCTTCTCCTCTGCACACCGGGGTGCCCAGGAGCAGGGATCAACTCAAGGCCACTAACCACTAAGTGGATGTTCCAAGTAACATTAATTGACCTTCTGGACGCTCTGGGCATTAGAGTTTGAGATGCTTGACCAGGGAGATGCTTACCACCCTTGGACTCTCTCCCACTGAGCATCTTTCTTAACAGTGGCTGGCCAGCTCAGCTGTGCACTCCAACTGTAGTTACCAGGGCTTCCTTGAAAAGGCTAACGAAAGGGGAATCTGACGAATTCCGAAGCCTTGATTCAAAAAAGATGCCCATTATTCCTTAGGGGGTCATAGCGCCTGGAGCCGAAGTCTAAATCCTTGTATAGGCACATCAGGTGACAGGAGACACCGTTCTCAGGAAAACCGTATTCTAAATGCAAAGATGAATCCCATGACTATGATTCACAGAGAATCTCAATTAAAG